GGAGATGGAACCTCACTATGTTGCCCAGGCTGATCTCAAACTCCTGATCTCAAGTGATTCTCCTGGCTTGGCCTCCCAAAGGGCTGGTATTACAGATATAAGCCACCATGCCCAGCCAAACATTTTGCTCTTTGTGAAATGAGTGTTTTACAGGGGAGATAAGTACTCCTGTTTTTATGTATTATGTAAATGAAAAATTCTGAAATTTGTGAAAATTTATTGCATTAAGAAAATAAATATATTGGGCACAGTGGCTCACGCCTGTAATGGATTACCTGAGGTCAGGAGGTCAGGACCAGCCTGGCTAACATGGTGAAACCCTGTCTCTACTAAAAAATATATATATATAAATTAGCTGGGTGTGGTGGCGCATGCCTGTAGTCCAAGCTACTCGGGAGGCTGAGACAAGAGAAACCCTTGAACCTAGGAAGTGGAGGTTGCAATGAGCCCAGATCACACCACTGCACTCCAGCCTGGGTGACAGAGCAAGACGTCGTCTCAAATTGGGAGAAAAAAAAAAAAAAGGAAAAGAAATTTTGGGCCAGGTGCAGTGGCTCACGCCTGTAATCCCAGAACTTTGGGAAGCCAACATAGGCTGATCACTTGAGGTCAGGAGTTTGAGAACAGCCTGACCAACATGGTAAAACCCCATCTCTACTAAAAATAGAAAACATTAGCTTGGCATAGTGGCGTGCACCTGTAATCCCAGCTACTCCGGAGGCTGAGACAGGAGAACCCAGGAGGTGGAGGTCGCAGTGAGCTGAGATCACACCACTGCACTCCAGTCTGGGTGACAGAGCAAGACTCCATCTCAGAGAAAAAAGAAATATTTTGTAGATTTTAGGGGATTTAGAATAATTTTGAAAAGGTGATAATTGGACTCATTTAACCAAGCATTTTAATAAAAGGTACCTGGGAAAAGCCTTTAAGAGGCAATCAGCATTACCATTTGATAGCTACAGTGTGATCTAAGTTTAGATGATAAGCTTGAATTAGAAATATAAATAGCAAGGTGGGGCATGGTGGATCACTTAAGGTCAGGAGTTCGAGACTAGCCTGGGCAACATGGTAAAACCCTGTCTCTACTAAAAATACAAATTAGTTGGGTGTGCTGGCTGTGCCTATAATTCCAGCTACTTGGAAGGCTGAGGCAGGAGAATCGCTTGAACCCAGGAGGCGGAGAATGCAATAAGCCAAGATTGTGCCACTACACTCCAGCCTGGGCAGCAGAGTTAGACTCTGTTTCAATAAAAAAAAAAAAGAAAGAAAGAAATATAAATAACAGAACCTTGTAACCCATAGTCATATGACTATGAGTCTCTTGGAATTACCAAATTTATATCTCAAAGTCTTATTTGCAGTTTATAAATTAATTGAGTGTTTTATGAGATTAAACAGTTGGCTTTAGAACCTATGATGTGGTCATCTCCATAAACATAGTAAGAGCACCTGTCCAAGCAGCTCTTTGAAATAAATCTTAGCAAAAGCCACCGTGTTATATAAAACTACTCACTAACCCTTGTTTGTACCTTCAGTGGGCTAGGGAGCATTTATCTTTTAAGAAGGGCCACAGACAGTATAGCTTAATTTAGAGGAGTCTTTCCAAGGTGGCAAGATGCCAGAATCTCAACATGGATTCTGTTCTAAACCCTGAATTCTAAACATAAGCTATTTTTAAAGGAATAAGCCATGATTTTGAAAGCAATGAAAACTTAAATTTGAGGAATTCTTAAATAACTTATATTTCTATTTTCATTTTTAAAATACCATTATTTCTGTTGTCTCATTTGAGTCTCTCTTAATTATATTGTCATGTTTGTAGACTTTTTAAAAATTTAATATCCTTTCCATTGTGAGCTTCTTGAAATAAGAAACTATGTCTCATTCAAATTTGATATATGATTGAGCTAAATGACTTACCCAACGTTACAAAGCTAATAAATAATATGCCTATAAGTCAAATCCAGATCTTCCTGTAACAGCTTTGAAGACTTAGATCTACGTGGATTTCTGTAATATATCATAAAGAAAATATAAGCACCTGAAATATTGTCCACAGGAAGTAGTCACTGAGCTAATCAAGGATAGGTAGGATTTAAATAAGGCGGGAAGAAAAGAGTGGCTTATACAATACAGAACACCTAAGCCACGGCAAAGATGAGAATGTAGGAGACATGTTTGGAAAAGGAGAAAATAGAACTTACTGCCTGACTGGGAGATAGATTTCTGTGAGAGGATAGAAAATGTGAGATTAGAAAGGGAAAATGAGGTTAAGCTGTCAGTGCCAAGCTAACGAGAAGCTCAGGGTCTCTATGACAACT